ATAAAACATTGTTAAATTTCAAACTTGTTTTAGTTTTTATTACTTAAATCCAAATTTGAAACTTTAAAGTCTCAAAGTTTAAATCAAAGCAGATGTTTTAAATCAGGCTTGAAGGTTTTTACTCTGTAAAATCACTGAGTTTTTATAAGAAACACTGAACTGATGCAGCTGCAGTGGCTGATGGGAAATGTAGTGCCTGAGCAGAACTCACCGTGTGGCCCGGTCCGGAGCTGCAGGAGGGTTCTGTTGTGTGGCCCGGTCCGGAGCTGCAGGAGGGTTCTGTTGTGTGGCCCGGTCCGGAGCTGCAGGAGGGTTCTGTTGGGTCGTTGTGAGGCTGCGGAGCGTCGGCTCACTTTAAAAAGCTCCTGCTGAGAATGTGGAACATGTGACCTGCTGAGCCACGGCTCACTGGGAGGACTGGGTCCTAGTGGACCCTCAGAGGCCACCTGTGGTCCAGAACAACTAAACACCAGCAGGCAGAACCAGAACCTGAGCAGCTCTCTGCTGGACACAGTTTGAGCTTCAAACAGCTAAAATTACCAGAAAACAGAACGTCTGTTTCTCATTTCTGGTGAAATAAAAACATATTTTTGTTTGTTTGAAGAGTTTTAATGTTAAAGATGCTGAGTCATGCTTTCATCAGAAGCACTTTAATCATCATTAGGCTGCAGATAATAAACAACACAATGCTGTCAGACGTTTAAACAGAGGAATAAATTCAGGCAGCTGCTGTTTAATCAGCTTGTTTCTGCTGGTTCTGCTGGTTCTGAAGGTTCTGATGGTTCTGCTGGTTCTGATGACAGATGTGAAGCAGGTGATAAATGGACTCAGTGAGACTTTAAAAGCTCAGAGTCTCGCTGTCTTTCTGTCTGAGCTGTGTGTGGCTCCCTGTGTTCACATGGTTTTTATAAATAAAGCTTTAGATTTACTGCAGCACATGTTCCTGTAATCCTCCATCCATCCTGCACATCATCAGCTGCTGGACCCGGACCGGACCGGACCGGACCAGAAGGCTCAGATCCTCACAGAAATAAGAGCTGTTTTCATCCAGAGTCTGATGATGGCACTAATGTTCACACCAGGTCACTACAGCTCAACGTCAAACTTCAGACTTTTTATGAACTCTTCAGACCAACTTCAGGATAAACACAAACGGAAAATGACAATTTTACCCAAATATTTATTGTAACAACAAACAATGAGCTGTGATTCTGCAAATTATTTTGAAATATCAATAAATGTTACCAATTATTTTAATATTTGAGACTAATCACAATCCTCCTACTTACAGTGTGTTCACATCAAGACCTCTGAAAGACTGACTGAAGACATGTTAATGCCTTATTTTATATAGAAGAATTCAGTACCTTTGAAGATTTTTGTACGAACAGGAACTGAATCTGAATGTGCAGAATTTGAATGTGAATGCATTGGTCTGAAACTGAATTTAAAGTTTTGTATCTGAATTAATTTACTTTGAAACTGTATTTTGGTTTATTAAAAATTCAGTTTGACTACTTTCACTTTCAGTTCCATAATTCAGATGTTTGTGTCACATCCTGGTCCTTGAGAAAGCCAGGCAGAGTAATCAAACACAGATCCACAGATTTATGTTTCACTTCTGGATGTAACA